AGGGAGGTGGGAGGGGGGACCGGGATGGGGAATACATGTAAATCCATGGCTAATTCATTTCAATGTATGACAAAAACCACTGCAATGTTGTAAAGTAATTAGCCTCCAACTAATAAAAATAAATGGGGAAAAAAAAAGAAAAGAGTACATGTTCTTGAAGGGGATCTGCCTTCATTAACACTCAGAGTAGGAAATAAGCACAGAGAAAAGTTTTTGGGTGAACTGTCTGAACAAAACAAAGAGTAGTTTGACTCCCCCCACATTCCTACTGCAGGCAGAGGCCAGAGTTGATCAGAACTGGAAATCCCCCCAATAACTCTCACTCGTCAGCCTCATTAATAAAAATATTTCAGTTTCTACCAGGCATGTTAGAGACACTGCCATCAATACAAACATTTCTGGCTAACTTGCTTGAATAAAAAATTAAGTTAGAGTCCCAGCAGAGGGCAATGTTCCTCGCTCCCAGAGACCTTGGATGCACAATTCCTCAGAGAACAGGACCCAAGCACCGAACAGAAGGTCCTAAGGTACGCCCGCCCCGATGCTCTGTCCAGTCGGCGCTCCGTTTAGTTCCGCAAACACTGCCAAGGTGACGATGGGCTGGCTGCATCTGCTGCTGCTGATAAAATCTCTGCTCAGCTGTCTAGGAGCATCACGCAATCTTTAAATCTGTGCTGCTTGGCACTGGTGTCTGGCCGACACCATTCCCAATTCTCCGAGGCTCATCTTCCAGCCAGATGGGAACTCTGCTACGCAGCTCAGGCTCTGCAGTACCAGCATCTCTGCCCCATCCGATCGTACATTTCATCCTTCTGTTAGCCCTCAGACCCACACAGGAATGCCCAGCTCTCTCAGCTGGAAGATCTGACTGATCGAAAAGAAGCTGACATGAGGTTACCAGTGAGGCACGAGCAGGTTATTAAGGGGGGACCCCAAGTGTCCATACCCAGTGACATCTTGGGGGCTGGGTCACCACGGAGAGGCCCCCAGCACTGAACATCTTCTTCAGGACTCCAAATCCAAGAGCAGTCGCCGAATTCAGATCAACAAAAGAGGAATGGCTAAATGGTGCCCACGGAGTCAGCAAACTGGGACACCAAGAAAGCAGCATGTCTCCAGAGCAGGGAATTGAGGATTAATGTGGCATCAAGGGCAGACCATGAAAAAGGGCTCTTAGAGGGCTGGCAGCACCACTCACCTCCAGAAAACTGAGGCAGGGGTGACGCTTTTCAATTCTAATAGAATGTTTATCTTTATCACCATCATCCTTAAATAACCAGGTATAGCTAGTGATAAGGAATGGATAAGCTGTCTACCAAACAGAGCCAGTACACAAATACTACAAGGCCCTGGGGACATAGGGAACAAGCCAGTCTCTGCCCTCACGGCTTTAATCCTCTGGGTCATCCTTACACTGCCGACAGTCTATGTCAAGGATGAAGAATGTCTAACATGCCCCCAAAAAATAAGAATCGGGGGGGATAAAGCAAATGAGGGGAGAAGAGAAAGACTATTGGGATGGCCAAATATCAGAGCAGGAGCTCCTCACAGCATCTTACAAACACCCCACAATCCTCAGGTCATCACTGTTTAAGTGCAGTTCCAAATCAAGCAGGCATGGGAGTGCTAGCTTCTCTGAGGCTCACTCAACTGGGAAGGGCCACGGTGCCTATCCGCTAGGGCTGCTGTGGAAATGACGACGAACCTCCAGCTGGGACCACAGTGAATGACACTTAGGAGGTCTTTAGTACATCTGCACTGATTGAATGAGATGGCATTTTCACTCTCCAGTTGAAAAACAAACCACAAACACACTTTAGGATTAAAAACAAAGATACAAGGAAATCCAGGCAAACAAAGCTAACTTCTACCTGGCACAGGGCTCTTGAATATCACTCCCACTTCTGTGAACAAAAAGATGATTAGCAATAAAAATGCTGGCTACTCACCTCCCACATCTGCTGTATTTGGCTATGGTGCCTTTTCCAGCGGAAGCGCCAAATATGTCTTTATATAGCCTTTTGTTAAATTTTGGAGGGAGGTTTTATTTTTCTTCTAAGCATTGTACTAAACGTCACTCATGAACAGGCCTTCAGCACTGATAGGGGTTTGAAGTGATGGACCTTTAGCATCAGGGCTGCCAATCAATTCCTCCCCCTTGCCCTCATCCCCTTCCTTGGGGTCAAGTGAGAAGATGGAAGGAGCTCAGAATCAAGGGCGTTGAGGCCTGGGGTGTCTGGGAAGGCATCAGAAGGCCTCTCTTGGCAATTCCATGTCATTTTCCTCCTGATAAATGTGGAGGGAGGCAGCTGAATACTGACCATAATGGGTGGTAGTTGGAGATGGGGGTTAGGGAGCAATAAATAAACACTTCTGAAAGCTGACATGGGGCAGGCTCTCTGCTGGGCTTGTCTCGATGCTCCACACAAGGAATCAATGAGGGAGCTATGTCACTCCCACCACCATAGGTGGACCTGAGTTTGGGAGGTCATAGTGCCGGCCAAAGACTCCATGGTGAACTCCCCCTTATCTGACTCCAGGCTCCGATCATTCTGGAAATGACCATTCCTATGGACTGGATCAGAGAAGGTGGGGCTCACTCACCTCCTTGATATGGAGCAGGGTGCTGAGTGTTCTAAGTCACTCCTGACACCTCACACCAGGAACAAGGCTGCCCCACTGGCGTTCTGGCACTTGACTTCAACTTACATGGAGGAGATAACGAATTCTCTCGTCACTGTTAATATGGACTAAATGAAACAAGAAAAGGTATGTGGGGCTTCCCTGGTGACTCAGTGGTAAAGAATCCGCCTGCCAATGCAGGAGACACAGGTTCAATCCCTGGTCTGGGAAGATGCCAAGGAGCAATGAAGCCCATGTGTCATAGGTATGGAGCCTCTAATCCTCAACCTGAGAAGTCCACACACAACTGTAGAGTAGCCTCTGCTTGCTGCAGCTAGAGAAAAGCCTGCACAGCATAGCCAAAAATGAGATAAATAAATGAATGTAGCCCTCAACGTTCCATGATGTGGAATGCAGGTCAGTCCTCGTTATAAGGGAATACAAACATGCATACTGAAATCCAGTGAAAATCTTACATCTTCTGACTTTGCTAATTAAGAAAAAGGATAGTTTTTACTTTTCAAAAGCTCACTAAATCTCTAAAACCTATCAACTCCCAATCTGCTGTAGCATCTAACAGAGGAGAATTAAACCAAGAGCAACCCAGGGAGTCCCAGGCTGACACCCCATGTATGGGCTAATGACAGTGAGCTCTGAAACTTGGGCTCTGTTGGATAGACATGAAGAAGCTGAAATGCCTACCTGGGTCCCCCAAAAAGTGTGTGTTGCGGGGGAGAAGAGGGGCTGGAGAGTTTGGGGAAATGTTCTGCTAAGAGTTTAAGGTGTGATCTGGCTATCTGCAGGGAGGCTCTGCTGACCAGGCATTCTCATCTCCCAAACTTCCCTCTCTCCTCAGTCTTCACTGTTTTGTGAATCTGTCTTGTCTCCCGTGGGGACTGCAGGCTGCTCGAGGGAACCACTGTGACCAGTTTCATTTTCTCTCTCTCAGAATTCAGCCAAGTTCAATATAACCAGAAGGTGATTAAGAAATAAAGCAAATTTATAAAATAGGTAGGTTAGGGATAACAGGCATATTATAAAATAATTGTCCTCTTTACCAAAAGATTCACTGAACAAGCTCCCTGAATAAATACCAAAGATGGACCTGATTTAGGAAAAACCCTGCTGAGCCTCACTTGCTCCACCAAGGCACAGGCTATGTGAAATGTAGCAGGCTTTCATTAACAGTCCTTGCTGTCAACAAGTTCCTGCTTTCCCAGGAAGCGCTCACCTCAGGAATAAGCCGCCGCCTCTTCACGCTCGGGACGGAGTCCAGCGGGGCCTCGCCACCCAGGGGCTTTCTCTTGCTGGAGTCCTGGAGGGCAGTGAAGACGCCATCCAAAGGGTGCTTCTCGGACGACCTGGAATTCACGGAGCAGTCCAGGGCAGCATCTTCGGCCTCCGTCTCCACTTTCACAGTGTTATTTTTTAGAACTGTGGCAGAGAGGAAAAGGGGCTCAGTGGGGAGACCACGGTTCAGCAGGGTCCCCAGGCACCAGGCTGTACGCAGCCACCTTCTGATATTCTCACTCAAGTAACAGTGTCAAGGGTAATAATCAATGAAACTGGCTTTCCAACCAACCAATTTATATTTCACCACACTAGTCATGCTATACACTGATATTATATTCCAAGAACATTCAGTTTAAAGCAGCTTTTAAAGTCTTTTCTTGGAGAAGGGAGGAGAGATGGAAGGAGAAAAACACACTACTCTTTTAAATGGTGCTTTTAAAAAAGTAACCCTGGAAAGATGCATAAGATGGCAATCAGTAATGAGAGGAGACTTTTCCTTAATTTTTCATTGTGTATCTTTTAATACTGGGTTGGCCAAAAGGTTCATTAAGTTTTTCCCATAAGATAGCTGTAGTAGCTCTTAACTGTTTTTAATTTCACCTGAAACCATATTGTTAGACTGTACCGTGACAGCTATCATATCAGTGTGCATTAAAAAAAAATGGTGAATTTTTGTGTAGCCATTTTAATATTGAAGATGGAAGAAGAAAAAGCAACATTTTCAGTATATTATGTTTTATTACTTCAAGAGAGGTAAAAACGCAACTGAAACACAATAAAAAAGATTTGAGTAGTGTATGGAGAAGGTGCTGTGACTGATCAAATGCATCAAAAGTGGACTGTGAAGCTTCATTCTAGAGATTTCTCACCGGACAATGCTCCACGGTCACACAGACCAGTTGCAGTAGGCAGTGATCAAATCAAGACATTAATTGAGCACAATCAACATTGTACCACTCAGGAGATAGCCAACATATTCCCAATATCCCAATCAAGCACTGAAAATCATTTTCTCCAGCTTGGTTATGTTAAATTGCTTTGATGTTTGGGTTCCATATAAGTTAAGTGAAAAAAACCCTGAGAGCATTTCCAGATGCAATTCTCTACTTAAAAGTAACAAAAATGGTCCATTTTTAAAACAAATTGTGATGGGTGATGAAATGTGGATATTGTATAACAATGTGGAATGGAAGAGATCATGGGGCAAACAAAATTAACCACCACCAACCACACCAAAAAAGTCTTCATCCAAAGAAGGTGATGTGTATATGGTGGGATTAGAAGGGTGTCCTCTACTACAAGCTCCTTCTGGAAAACCAATCAATTCCAACAAGTACTGCTCCCAATTAAACCAACTGAAAGCAGTATTTGACAAAAAGTGTCTGGAACTAGTCAATTGAAAATGCATGATTTTCCATCAGGATAACGCAAGACCTCATGTTTCTTTTGATGACCAGGCAAAAACTGTTACAGCTTGTCTGGGAAGTTCTGATTCATCCTCTGTATTCATCAGACAAGGCACTTTCAAATGTCCATTTATTTTGGTCTTTATAGAATTCTCTTAATGGAAAAAACTTCAATTCCCTAGAAGACTGTAAAAGGCACCTGGAATAGTTCTTTGCTCAAAAAGATAAAAAGTTTTAGGATGATGGAATTATGAAGTTGCCTGAAAAATGGCAAAAGGTAGTGAAACAACAGTGACTATATTGTTCACTAACATTCCTGGTGAAAATGCAAAATGTGTCTTTTAGTGTTACTTTAAAAACCAAAGGAACTTTGTGGCCAATCCAGTAGTTTTGAACCACGTGAATATATCATGAAAAAAGTATTAAGTTAAACTACTTTTTAAAAAGATGCTTTTTTTTTTTTTACCTTCTTCTACATCTTCACTAAATTCAGTTGCGTTCATCTTCTGTTCCACTAAAAGAAAAGACAAAGACAAAGTCTTGACTTATTGTTTATTTTTTAAAATTTCACCCACCCATAAGAAATCCCCTTACCCTCCCAACCCTGGTTCTGGGTAATAGAAGGTTAAGTTGATATGACTCTGCAACATAAAGGAAAACTGCATCCTCTTGTTTGCAAATGCCCAGAAGCAGCCCAGCCTCCTCTGCTCCTGCTGGGAGTTCTTCCCCAAGACTTTATGTGGGCAGAATGCAGCTTAAAGCATCAGCTGAGAGTCACTTATGGAATGAAAGGATCTGAGAAACTCAAGACTTATAAAAGACCTCAGTTGGGATGATCTGTTAGTCCCTGCCTTAAACATCTAACCGTTAATGTGAAAAGGCTGACAAAGATCCACAGCAGGCTGTGGAGCCTGTGAACCTGAGCTGAGGTCCTAAGATTCCAGGTGGTCCAAAAAAACCTACGCCGTCCATGAGGGCGGCCACTAGTCATGCGTGGCTCCAGAGGACTCGAAAAGTGGCCAGTCCAAATGTAGATGTGATGTAAGATACATGCTGGATTTCAAAGACTCAGCAGGGCAAAAAGAATGTAAAATATCTCGTTAATAATTTTTATACTGATTACATGTTAAAATGATAATATTTCAGATTTATTGGGCTAAGTATAAAAATTAATTTCACCTTTTAAAAAATGGCACCGAGAATAGTGCCATACATTATAGCACTACGTGAGCGCCACTAGAAAATTTAAAATTGCACATGTGGCTTTCACTACTGTTATTGGATGATGCTGGTCTAGCCCTTTCTTCAGAAGCAAGAGGAGAAGTTCTTAAAGCTCCTCAGCTCCATACAATCTGGTCCAAAGCACTCTATTTACTGACGAGGGGATGACATTGGAGGGGTTGGCGGTACCTCCTCCATATGGGGTGCAGGGTCTGATGGAAAATCAGGGGCTGGTTTCCCTGCCCGAGCCAAAATGGAATGGACCATCATGGTAAAAGCACCATTACGCCTTTGAGATCCCCCAAATGACATAACAGCATGTCCACAAATAGGATAAAGTATAAATGAGGTAGTAACGTTGGAAAGAATATACATGACAGCCTTTACTGATGACATTGAGGAGCTGTGGTTCTTACCACTGGTGAAGCTGCCTGCAAGTACTGGGTGCCCACTCCAGTTACGGGTCAGAGGGCAGCAGGCGTAACTTCATGAAATCTGTATAAGGAAAAGGGATGCCACCTACAAAGTTCAGTAAACCATTCACCAAGCAGCTGTGGAATGGTGTACGGTTCCGGTTTAGACAGGTCAATGGAGGGACAACCAGAGGATGACCTGTGCACAGGCTAACAACTTCAAAGGTCACTAATAATAGCAATGTACAATGCATGGCACTCTTCTCAGTCATCACAATTAGTTCATGACAGGAACAACTTTTTTCATCTCTGTGTTACTGATTTTCAAAGGAAGGAATAAGAAATGTTAAGATTTATATGAAACTGAAATTATTACTACTTACTAAACTATCTACTATCTGAAAAAAACATGCAGGGGGGATTGAGTGAATATAGACTGTAAGTAAGTCAACTTCAAAGGGTCAAGAACTATTTTACCAGAGGTGAATTTTTATCAAAGACAATCTCCACTGTATTCCAGGGAAGTAAACCTCAAGTCTGGGTGTCTCTGAGGGGAGAGTTCCAAGTAGGTAGCAGGGCATCAGTACTCTTTTCAGACAGCACGGCTGGCCCACGCTGGACAGAAACTCAGGCCTGACTGGTAAGGGGCTTCTCAAGGAGGCGAGAATGAGCTGCCCCGCCCCAGCCTTGACCAAGACTGGGCCGCCACCTGCCCCTGGAGACCCTACCGCCCCGCCCCAGAACCGGTCTCCTCAAGGGAGAAAGAGCCCTGCTGGACAGGGCACCGTGTACAAAACCAGTCACATTCCGGAGAGGAGAGGGAGGACGGGGAGGTGGCACAAGTTTATCTGGGGGTGCTGCGTGGTGAGAATTCTCAAAGCCTCTCCAGCTAAGCAAAAAGCATGAAAAGGACAAGTGACTCCTAGAGGAAAAGAAAACAGGAGTTGATGAGAAAACCCGGCAGAGAATCATAGGCACCGAGCAGAGATGGTCTGGATATCTGACACTCCACTTCAGAGGAGCGGCGTGCGTGGGGGTCCCCACGAGTGCGCGACTCGGTGAGCACCACCGTGGGACACCACCAACTCAGCACCTGACTCCCGAGCTCCCCTTGGTTCCCGAGGCAGAAGGTGATGAAGGAGGGTACACACCTGAGCCACCCGCGGGCGGGAGGAGAGCTGGAGGGGGCTGCACAGCCTCACGGGTGAGGTGGGAGGCAGGGGTGGCGGCTTCCTGGGCACTCCGGGCGCTCAGAGTGCATCTGCTTTGGAAAACATTTCCGTGTTCATTTATAGACCAGCGACAGATGCTAGACCAGCACAGAAGTCACCCAGGATGCAGTGTGGTGGGCCCCTTCTCTCCCAGACAGTGAAGAAGCCATGCTCATTGAGAAGCTGGGCAATGTCCCATGTGCAAGGCCTGGAGAACTAAGTGCCTCTGGCTTGTGTGGTGGGGAGTGAGGTAAGGGTCCCCACTCACATCCCTGGCCTGCAAACTTGGGGCCTGGTGCTGCCCAGCCACTTCATGTGGCCTCCATTTCACCCTGAGCGATTTCAATCCCAATTTTACCAATAAAAAATACCGAGGGCATACACCTTCAATATTTACCATTTTTATCTGTCAGTCATAACTTCAATGAAGCTGAAAAATTATTTTTATGTCATTCTGATTACAGAAATAAAGAATTTGACTACTGGAAGGGGAAGCAGGTACTTGATCAGTGTCACGCAGCTATTAGGTGGTAGAATTAGGATTCAAACCAAATCTGTGTATATCTCCGATCAGCCACCGCGAGAGGGAATAATAAATTTGCATTCTTCTGTTAAGGTTCTTCTGATGAACACGAGAGCAGTTTCCAGCCTTGGATCTCTCTGACCACTAGCAGCTGGAAATCTCCTTTCACCTCCATGTCACTACCAGGAAGACGAGGGTGCTCTGTGCTTATACAGACTCCACAAATCGGAAGTATCTACAAGAAGGATGGGATGTGTGGTTCGCTTCCGGGCATCCCGAGCTGACATACAGAAAGCGCATCAACACCATCCCATCCCTCCACTTCCTGGTCACCTGCCAGATGAAGGTCACAAGGCTGTGCATCCTGGGCGGACACTAAACACCCGCATGCCAAGCATGCCGCAGAAATTCCTTTCGCTTACACAACTATAGGTTCTGTAAGAGCTGCCAACTACTGAAGCATCCCCCACAGGGCTGCTAGGATTACAATCTCCTTTGCCTGCAGGTCTTTGGAGCATTTGTTTTACCATTCTGTCCTTCTCAAAATCCTCTTATCCCTTCACCACAAATCTGAAAATGTGAGACAGTCTAACCATGCATCCCCATGTCCCTGAAAATCAGCTTCTCCCCTAGGGGTGCCTGTTCCATGTTCCTGACCAAGCCCAGGGGAACATTCAATCGAGCGAAAGGGGTGTGCGTCGTGGAGACCAGTGGGGCTTGCTGCTGCCTCTAGTTAAAACGCACAGGCCCTAAGACATGGATGACCTCTAGGAGGGTAACTCTCAAACAGGACTAATCTCCAGTGAAGTGAAGTCGCTCAGTCATGTCCGACTCCTTGTGATCCCATGGACTGTAGCCCATCAGGCTCCTCCATCCTTGGAATTTTCCAGGCAAGAGGACTGGAGTGGGTTGCCATTTCTTTCTCCAGGGGATCCTCCTGACCCAGGGATCGAACCGGGGTCTCCCGCATTGCAGGCAGACGCTTTACTGTCTGAGCCCCCAGGGAAGCCCAATCTCCAGTGGTTAATCCAATTAGTGAAAATGCTAGTTTTTTGTTTAACCAAATAGCCTAGGAAGCCTCAGGTGAGGAGACCATCATTGGTAAAGAAAGGTTTTCAATACTGCACAACTCATAGCAGTATATATAGAGTACACACAATTTTGTTAGAATATCCAATAGTCTCTATCTTTCTTCACAGGGTGAGAGGATAGTGTACTCCCAAATGTTTAACAAACAACAGGATGCTTGAGACACTCAAATACCAAATTACAAAGGATAAGTTGCTTAAATTGGCTAAATAAATGCAGTAGCCCTGGGAGGCCTACCTCTGGGCCTCATGCTGGAAAAATGGCTGAATCTGCCTCCTACCTATCCTGGCTGGGAGCTGGAAGTGAGGGCGGAGCAAGATAAGGGGCGGGCGGAGCAGTGAGAACCAGTCACTGGTATTTCCAAAGGGCCAGTTCTACGCGACCCCACAAAAAAGTGGAAAAGCAGAAAAGACTTACCAATTGTAGATAACTGAAGTTCACTTTATGAAGGGAAGATACCTAAAAGTCTTCTTTTGACTAGATACACAGGCATCCAAAAATTCAAAAGGTATAAAAGGACACTGGTTTAAAAAGCCCCCTGTCCTCCAGTCATTGGGTTATTAGTCTCTTGGAGGCATCTCATTGGTTTTCCTGGGTTTTTCCATAGACACTCTGTACCAGAGGTTCTCAAAATGGGACGTAAGCTGCCTACATGGACTGCGTGTCTCTCCCCAACTCCAACACTAGTGGAGTCAAGCCGGTAACTTGCAATTGTCTGTGATGGGAACTTACACCATGGAAACTGACATTTTGTACAAACCTTGGGTTCTGGGCTTTTTTTTTCCTTTTTGGAAAGCCTGCTTATCAGTACATCCAAGGCCCTTTCACAAGGTCCATGAAATCAAAACTATTTTCATTGCACTGGGGTGCTATTGCCTCCTTCATTTCACAGGTGTGCTACACGATACTTTATTATGCAAAAGATCGACATTAATTCATGATCCCCTGGAGAAGGGAATGGCAATCCATTGCAGTACTCTTGCCTGGAGAATTCCATCGATTGGTGGGCTGTAGTCCACAGGGTGGCAAAGAGTGGGACACGACTGACTGACTAACA